ACCTTTTCAGAATTCTTTTCTGCCATCACTGTCTAATTCAACTTCCCTACAACTCTGTAAATCCAACATATTAAGGAATTACAACTTATTTAATAGGAATCCCAGTGGTAAACACATACAAATGTCCTGGGACTGTCATAGTTAACAGTAGGTTAAACAATGTTTTACCTGACGACATGCCTCCTTCAAACAACTGTCCAAGTACAAAACTCATTGTGTTATGTTGGAAAATGACAGATAGCTGTGTTTACTCCTTCTGCTGGCCACGTGTAATTCTGATCAATGCTAAAGAAAACTATGCATGTTCATCAAGGGAAAATGCATCCCACAGTTTCAACACAAGAAATTCAGTAACAACCCTGTATTGTCATAGAAGTGCTAGACTGATTCTAGCAACTGAATTTTAATAAATGTTAGAAAGAACGGACAAGTTAACTGCAATTGGGAAAACTGGAACCGTGTTCACTTATTCTGGGTGCTGCAGCTGGCTTACTATATATTCTAACTTTATTCTGAATACTGAGCTGTGGAGTAACTTTCATTTACAGTCATATACTTCCCAATAGGATAATATACTTCCAAAGATAATTGGGGTTCTGAGCAATTTAGCTTCAACTACACAAGACGATCACACATCTGTAAATGCTATGCTGCTGAACACACAGATACTCAGTGCATGACTGTATGTTGGCTGGGAGCATACGGACAGGGAGCTAGAGCAGCAGAGCATTCTAAGGAACTCAGGGTTACAGGACAATCAGTGACACAACCTCTCACTGGTCTGAATTACACCCCAAATTGTCGCACTGGTTTCCTGACAGCTTGCCGGTCCAGCTTCATGGCAGCCTGCCTGCATTCTCGCCTGCCTGAATCCCAGCTCCCAAGCTTGAAGGTCCCCTGCAGCCTAGGTTCCAGAACTTGCAGGATATGCAGCTCTGGGGCAGCCCACCAGGCTGACTGCCCCAGAGTTGGAGTTTCATTCCCTTTCATGGAGAATTTCAAAACATGTGGTTTTCATTCCAAATCTGAATGAAAACAAATTTCAAAATATCAAAATCCTCTGCAAAATGGAATTAATTTTCTCCATCCAGCTCTAGTGTCAACTGACAGCTAGAGATGTAAACTTTAAGTGGATCCCTCAGTTAGAAAATGCTTTTAACATGCATTTGCCAGATCATGACTTGAGAACAGAGAGAGGGAGAGCAATAAAAATTAAGTTAATTGGGTTCATCTATTTGAATGAGGAGGGAGAAAAGATTCGTCCTTGCTTTGCTTGCTCCGGTCCTCCTTCCTCTGGACTTCCAGAGATTCCCGTGGCTCTTAGGAGATCTGCAAGAGGTCTGTAGTGTGTTTGGGGGTGAGGAGAGCATGTGTGGAGAAGGCATGGATCAACATTTAGTTGGCACAGGCAATGGGGAGGGCACGGAGAGTGCTTCTAGAGTGGGAGACAAGAGGATGAAGGAAGAAGGCAAGCCGTGTGAGGTAAAGTTAGGAGGGTCAACAGGAGAAAGGAGAATTAGATTAGTGGAAAATGGAAACATAGAAACAGCAGAATCAAGGTCATTTCTCTCCTCCTGCAGACCTTAAGAGCTATTGTTGCCCAGCAGCCCCATTTCTGAGCCTTAGAAAACTGATTGTCTCCCCTCCTTCCCACAGACCTTTAGTGGGCTCTTTTGCTCCACAGCCTTAGGAGGCTTGACAAGGTCCCTATCAGTAGCTCCCCCACTTTCCCCATCAACCCACTGGTCTGAAGCAAGATCCCAAGTAGGATCACTGGGAAGTTAGTAGTCTTATTTAGCTCTGTTGGTGACTGATGATCTAATTTTAATTAGCTGGGACAAACAAGTTTCCTAAGGTTTGCAGTCATTGTTGCTCCTCAAGACTTCATAACAAATACTTGGACATTTCAAATTGCATTTTAAAATATATAATGAAAATTGTCCTAATGAATTACTTTCTGTGCAACTTTCATGTTAAGGGTTTTTTGCTTGTTTGTGTTTTCCTCTCTTTTAATATAGATTGGCAAAAACAAGATACTAAAATTTCATATTTAAAACCTTTTAATAAAAAGTCCATCTGTCTATCTACACTGTTCTGTATTAAAAAAAATAAATGCATGCATCCATAAAAACAAATAGCAAACAGGTTCAGATGCTAACTACTGAAAAGTAGAAAAAAGATTGGCATTTATAGACAGTTTCTTAACCTGCTATACGTCTAGAAAAAGTATGCTAGGCAACCATTATTCAAGTATGTCACTACAAATCCAACCATGGAAAAAGCATATTTTTGTTTTGAATTTACATTGACAACCGAATAATTATTGGTGTGCCACAGCCTGCTTGTTGTAATTTGTTGATTTACAGCTACCGTACAAGAGCACTTCCTGTAAGAGTGTTACACTATATTTGTTAAACAATCTAATATTCACTACTGAGAGCACATTAGCTATATATTCATGTTTCTTGAAACTGCTCTTATATATATATGCTGATTATCCAGTCCTAACTACGGTCTTGTAATGTTAAACTTTCTTGCTTTAAAACTTCAATTTCTCTTAATTTTCCAAAAAAAAAAAAAAAAGTGGTCCATTGTAACTACTCTTGAAAAATGAATCACCATCACTGCTGTCTTGAAAAAGGCATAGTCATACTGCAGACAGGAGCCAAAACCTTGGAAATTACCCCAGCCAGCCTCATCCAAAACACCCTAGTCCTAACCTGGGGCACACAGCAAAACTTCTGCAGTCTTGTTTCTCCTCAGACCACATGCTGAACTGGGGGTGGGAGGTTCTCATCCATATGGATCAAAGTTCATGAGAAATTAAGCTGAGAGCATCACAAAAGAAGATGGGAAAACAATTCACAGAATACAATCAAATGCATGGAATCTGACTTTTTACCTTGAGCATCATACAAAATTGGATTTACAGGTGTGAGAGATTCTGGGAACCAAAATACTGATATGAGCATAGACAGTGACTACAATTTCCGGGAAAAAGAATTTAGTACACCACTTGATTTGAAATATTGACTTAATATTACTGTAAACTCCATCACATTACCAAGATGAAATGAATAAGGCCAAACACAGCAGCCCTTTATCGGCTCAATAAAAATGACTAGGGTTCAGTCAAGGCCGGCTCCAGCTTTTTTGCCGCCCCAAGCAGTGAAGAAAAAAGAAAGGGGAAAAAAAAGATAAAGCTGCGATCAGCGGCACTTCGGCGGCAGCTCTACCGCACCGCTTCATTCTTCGGTGGCCGGTCCTTCCCTCCAAGAGGGACTGAGGGACCTACCGCCAAATTGCCGCTGAAGACCCGGACATGCCGCCCCTTTCCATTGGCCGCCCCAAGCACCTGCTTCCTGCGCTGGTGCCTGAAGCCGGCCCTGGGTTCAGTACAGAGAAACTAAGGTGGAATCACATAGTGCTCAATCACACATCATGTTGTACAAACTCTGGCTCTGATCCAGCAAAGCACTTAAGCAGCTGCTTAACTTTATCAGCGCCAGAGTGCTCAGCACCTTGAAGAATTGAGCCCTTAATGTAGTATTGGTCCCTCAGCTACCGAAGGAGAACATCTATCAAGGCTTTATTGTATACACGTTTGCCTTATACGAAATGTACAGCAAGTGCATTTATTATAGCAATAAAACACATCAGAGTGGGGAGAATGAAATAGTTATTACCTTAATGGTTCTCTGTCTCTAAGGTATTTGTCAACCAATGGAAAAACATGGCTTCGGGGTTCCACTTTTCCAACATGAGTGTGTGTATGTGTATATATAATGTGTGTGTATATATATATATATATACACACACACACACACACACACACACAAAATGGAAATGATGTTAAGGGTCTGCAGACTGCTACATTTTTATTAATTTTAATACAATTATTTAAAAAATGTGAATAGGATTCCCCATGCCATTGCTTTGCAGAAAATACCATCCTGTTGAAACAGTAGTGTTTATTGTTATGTCAGATCTCCAGCTTACCTTAATATGCACACTACAATGACTTCTGCAAGGCACAGAATCTACTTATATCACAAATATGATGAATAATTATGAGAAATAGTATTTACATTCCACCATGTTATTGGTGCTGTAAAGTAGTGCAAAGTTAAAGTAACAGATTCTACTGCACAAAAAGTGATTAAGATTGAACAATGTAAATGATAATCGAAAATAAAAGCTATTCCAAAAGCCTAAACTAGTATCTATCCAATCCATTTAATACTGTAATTAGACTACCAGAACAGGTATTACTAAAGTATTAGCATGCTAAGAAATGGGGTCAAGAAGCTGTACTAGGTTAAAGTAAAAACTGATGTAATAGTATTTTATAGTACACAAATGCAGCCCTTTAAACAATTTATGCTGAAGGGCACAAACTGGCATAAGAGTGTTCCTCTTTTCAGTCATAACCTCTGTCAAAAGGATGCTATGAAGTGCTTAGTTAAAAGATGCCACCGAAGTGCTACATGTTGCATTTGAGCCAGATTCCTGACCCCAGTACTATTTCCAAAAGCTACATTGAGACTATGAATACTTATGAGAGTGCCACTTGGAACAGTAGAATGTAAAATAAATTTATAATAGTGCTCAGTTTCAAATCTGTGTTAAAAAGCATATAAAGAGGAGTTTGACATTGAAAATTTTAAGAAAAGGCAAATTCTTATAAAAGCTTTGGAAACAGGACATACTTGAAAAGTATACTTAATCACCATTTTTAATTAATGGTAAAAAAAATCAAAATTCCTACTTGTTCCTCTCCCATTCTTAGTTCAGCATAAAGAAAAGATGTAAATTGCTTGTGAGACACAATATTGTTGTGGCATCTCTTATAAGCTACTGTACAGTATATGGAGTAGGAGCTCTCACAGGGTAATCACATGCACATACAACATCTGTGCAGTTCATAAGAGGAAGAGGAAAGCTTATATAGTCAGGAGAGAAATCCATCAAATAAAACAAGCTAGGTGTTCTTGACGTACCATTGACTAAGCTGGCATTTGCATTATCAGTGGCATTTGCACCTGCTGCACCATCTGTAGCTGAAGGAGGGTGGGAGGAGGGATGGGAAGAATCTACTGAGTAATAATGGATAAAAAAGAATAATAAATAATAATATGAACAAATTTACATGACACAAACAATAACATTTATGGACTAGTGTGACTTTGTTTTCTCCAAAACAGATTTGTTTTAAATTAAGCAACATAATGTCTAAAAATGAATGTCATTACAAAGATGTTACCAAAGTCAGAAATAAAAAAAACCTCATACATGGAATATTTAAAAAAAGAAGAAATATGAAAGACACATTTAACAAAGTTAACAGTGTTGGTGAGAACTGTCTATACACAGTACTATGTATTACTATACCTCTGCTCCTTTATGCAGATATTTTATTTGCTTTATTTGCAAAAAAGTTGACTTTAAATAGACTAAAATATAATTTGGCTTGAATAAATGCATTTATAAAACCTGTCAGTATTTTTCAAAATGTACAATATATTGCTACTAAGACAACTAGTACAGAGGTTCTCAAACTGTGGTCCATGGACCACCACTGGTCCGCGAGCTCCATTCAGGTGGTCCGCGGATAGTTCCCTCTAAGGTGCGCGCCTGGGCGGCCGCACACAGAAAATTAAGGGCCACCCACCTAATTAGTGGAGCCGCGCAGGTGTGGCTCCACTAATTAGGTGCCTGGACCCTGGAGAAGAAGCACATGGAAGGTGAGGTGGTGGCCTTGGGGGAATAGGGGGTAGATGGGAGGGGGCAGTGGGGTGAGAAGAGGGGGTTGGGGGAATTTGGGATGTGCCGGGCTGCAGCAGCCAGAGAAAGAGGTGACTTTTCCCAGCTCCAGGGCTGTGGCTGCCGGGGAGAGACGGCCCTCCTTCCCAGTCCCAGCTCAGGGGCTGCTGCGGTGGGGGAGAGACCCCCTTCCTTCCCAGCTCCAACTCGGGGGCTGCTGCGGTGGGGGAGAGACCCCCTTCCTTCCCAGCCACAGCTCAGGGGCTGCCACGGTGTGGGAGAGAGGGCACATCCATCACATTAGAAAGGTAAGACTACTGATATTAAAATATGAGTTGTGTGCTTTTATTTGTAGAACAAAAAACATTAATTATTATTACGGTTTTTTTATCCAAAGCGCTTTACAGTACTTAGCCAACGGCACAAACAACATTTGGAAAGATCATTAAGTGGTCCGCTGAGACCCTCAGCAATTTTCAAGTGGTCCGTGAAAAAAAAAGTTTGAGAACCACTGAACTAGTGCACACTATACATAGGTCTGAAAGATATGCTACGATAACCCATTTAATATGCTTCACTGATTTCAAATCAATTACATTTTTCAATAGTACATATAGATATTTTGGGAAATACAAAATACAGAAACTTGCCAAATTTGGTCCCTGCATTTTTCAATTTAATCTATGATAAAAATGAATATAATAAAAAATAAAATCCAAGTTTAGATTTCAGCAATCTTATTTTAGGAGAACTGGTCAGACAAGAGGTTCCTTCATAACAGGAGGAGGAAAAGTTCCCTAAAGGTTTTGTTTATTATTGTTAATGCTCATTTGCACTAGAGTTGAGAGAACAATTCATAATGAATAATTCAATGAATTTTGCTTTGCTTTCTGTTGGCTAATTGTTCACAACAGAAAACAACTTTCACATTTACTCCTTTTTGAAACAAATGAAATTCTTTAGTGACTGATGCTTGGCCCACAATTGATAATTTCATGCAGGTTAGTTATTCAACTTAATTTGAATTGCGGTGTTGCGGATGGAGCTAGTGCAAAATGAACACAATAAAATACAGAATTTGAAATTCACCATGTAGTACATACATGCAAATTTCAAATTGCATATTTGATTACAATACTCATAATTCATAATTGATTACTTATATTTATTTTCTCTGAAGTTGGATACTTACATTAACCACCACAGCAATTAAACTGCACATTTAAAAATTCAATATACAATAATTTACTTTTCAGGAATAATTAAGCATCCAAGCCTAAAATTATGATTTGCAGCACCGGTAATGCTTGAGCACTCAAATGTTTGCTGAAAATAAGCATGGAAGGGTCTCAAATGAAGTCAATTGAAATCAACTTTTGAATTTGAACAGAATATTCAAGGATAATTTTTCCAACCCTGATTTTTTCAGCCCTGATTTGCACCACAATCTGTCAGATGACAGCAGCTAAAAGCCTCATCCTTCTAACTGATCTGGTAGATTTCTTACTCTACCTGGAAGCTGATGTCCATCCTCCTTTTTCATACCTGCATGATGATTTTTACAACACGTTAATGAAGAATAAAAGCCCACATCTAGAGAAAACTGACATGTAAACACACAATTGGTAGGATTTCAGAAGACTGAAGGTTTATATAAAGGGAACATATATTTTTGGGGAATAATGCCCTGATCCATACACGTAGCTCCATGCAGGCAGACTCCTGCACCCACACAATGGTGCTTGCAGGAGAAGAGCCTGAATTGTGAAAGCATTTGGTTGGTGTTGTAGTTGTGTGGTTCCAATTAGAGTTCATGTGTGTTATATGAAATTCTTGTGTATTGATCTGAAAAGCCCTACCCCTCAGTGTTTCTTTAGAATCACCTCTTGTTCTATTAATCTGCAATGGCAGCTTTGCTTCTTTTTCTTTAAAGATTACAATCAATAAAGCTTGGGATATACACCAATATACAGACACCAAGTAAGAAGATATTCAGAGGGGGTTCTCCCTGGTCCAAAGCAGACACTCATTGCAGACAAGTTATGTGAGCTCTAAACAAATATTGAAGTTTTAACATCCCACTCACCCTGCCAATACAGACTGTCAAAACAGAAACTGTTGTTACTGCTAAAAGGCCTGATTTTGCTCCCCCTGTTTATAATGAGCGCAGGATTGGGCCCTAAAAAGGTGGTAAAAAACATAATGGCATAAAATAGTCTACCTTGGGAAACTGCAAATGTTTTCTCTTTAATGCTCTTAGCCTTTATTATAAGTAGTGGTTGTTGTGTACCTCTCTTTGGAGGTTATGTGGTACAAAGAATAGGTTTTCTTGTAGAAATGTGGAGTTGAACGCAATCACTTAAGCCTTCCCAACAGTCCATTCTGCTACTCTTCATAAAAATAGTAGAGGGCAGAAATTAGTAAATGGGGAATTTCAGGCCCCAAAAACCATCTAAGTCTACTCTTTGTGTCTGCAGCTTCAAATATAAAAATATGCAATGCAGGAGAAAGATAAATGATAACCCAAAGGAACATGTAGTTCAACTAAAACCATTAGGTGAAGTTATAATTGCTTTTTTATTACTGACAAGGTATGAATTTTTAGAAAATCTCACAGTTCATGTTTCTTAACCCTTAAACACAACTGAATGCTTGAGGAGGATAATTTAAAAAAAATCCCTTTTACACTCAGGCCAGAAATGCAGCAACCAGACTTGAACAGTTTACACGGATGACTGTGTGTATGTAAACCTGGACAAAAAAGACATTAAACCAATTTTCTGCTTACTGTGGAGCCCATAAGCTTAGTAAGTTCTTCTGACTTTATCCTACAATAAGGTCAAGATCTAAAGAGACTTCTTGATTTGACTGCCTGGCACTTGAAGTTAAATCGTAACCCTCATTCAACACTTGCTGCCACTTAGACTAGTTTTCTTCCAATATTCCAAACCTGACCTGTCAATCTTAGAAAGTAAAAAGGTGTCTATGAATAAAGTGTACTTAAGTTAGTCTATAACAAGAACTACAAAGACAGGCACTCACCATTTACATCACCAAAAAGGCACAATTTTTCCTCATTTCATTTTTCAAATTTAAATAAGGGTGCTGTTTCTATGTCTGACTTATGAAGACTAATATCAATGCAGATAGCACAAGTAGTACTTGTGGCACCTTAGAGACTAACAAATTTATTTGGGCACAAGCTTTCGTGGGCTAAAACCCACTTCAGCATCCGATGAAGTGGGTTTTAGCCCACGAAAGTTTGTGCCCAAATAAATTTGTTAGTCTCTAAGGTGCCACAAGTACTCCTCGTTCTTTTTGCTGATACAGACTAACACGGCTACCACTCTGAAACCTGTCACCATGCAAGGATTAATGTAGATGTAAATGGGCAAAATTTAGGTGAGTATAGATTTATATGCAAAAGTAAAATGTTGTGATTGGAATATCTACCCTTATTTTCCCATTCATTTGATCACACACTACAGTCTGCAACTTAAAATGAAAAAAACTTTTAATCATGACTTACATATTAGTAATATATAGCTCTTGCTGTATTCCCTCATATATGTAATGACAAAAAATATACATGAAGACAGTATTTTAGATACTTTTAGTGCTTTACGAATAAAGGGCCTACAAGAATAATTTGAGAGCACCGAGATGTGCTATGAGGGGGTTACCTTTCTTATCTTTCTTTTCCTCCTCTTCTCCACCAGCCCCTAATAGAGTAAAGATGATGCCTGTCTGAGAATTCACTCCCACAGCGGTTACGAGCATTCGCCCAGAGCCCTCCATGACATGGGTACCTGAAATGACAGGATAAAAGAGAAATTAAAAATGTTGCTAATACTTCCTGAATGTATTTTTTAAAGACTACTACCAGGGTAGACAGTGGGCCAGATTTTGACCTCAGTTACACTAGTTTAAATCCAGAGTGACTCCAGTCATGGCACATGCCAGTGAAAGAAGCCCAACCACTGCATAAACAATAAAAGGTTCTTTATTACAAATCTCAGGGTGCCTGTCTATCAATTAAATAGATGAAGTTTATTTTAAAACTTGAAATTGATGCAATTTTTAAAGGTAAAAGTAACTTCAGGTGTTACATTTGCATCCAAGCCAATTATTGTAATTTTAACATACATTTTGCTGTTTTTAACATACATTTGCAAATGTTTTTCTCCTGTTTTGTGTGAAACACATACACAAAATAAAGGGGAAAATGGAGCACATAGGAAAAGCAGCAAAAGTTATTATACACAAACCGTCAAATTCAGAAGCAAAATTTAAAAGTAAGGAAAACTTTTCATCTTTCAGTTACGGTAATCTCAGTTGTTACTTGTAATAAAATATTTTCAGATAAGTATGATTTTGAAGTTGATCACACACCTTTAAATATAGTGAAAAAAAGTTGAAGTGTTGCACAGCTAATTGTGTTTAACAAATTATGATTCATGGGAATATAAGAAAATGAACTACTTATTGAGATAATCCCATGTTCCCAACACTAAAGAAGTCAAGACTCAGACATATTTTCATGGGATTACTAACTGAAGGATAATGTTTTTCAGAGGACAAGGAGAAGTCTGCACCCATATGAAGATGATTCAGTTTGAAAAGGATTTTTTTGCTATGGGTAGAACAAATTAAACTGATAACAAGGGAGTTTTTCCTGAAAGGGATAATCTATTTAGTTATCATTTAACTGACAATGCTAAAAAATCTTCTGTGTTTTATTGTCTAGAGATGGCCTGTTTGGCCCACGTAGATGTATCAAATGAGGGATCTACATCTCACAAATCTATCATGCCTGTCTTCATGGTTCGTTAGTCTGCACCAGCAGGGTGTACATTAAGCTGGCCCACGTGGATGTGCAGGCATGCACTAAAAATTCCCTAGTGTGTAGCATTGTAGTCTCATTTCTAACAGGACTTCTTTAATGCACGCTAGGGATTTTTTTAATGCATGCCAGCAGGGCCCACAAGGGCCAGTTAGCCAAAGCACCATGCAGACAAGCCCTAAATCAAAGGTTCTAACTTTTTCACAAGGTAAGCCACATCTTGAGAAGCTGTCTCAGGAACTTCCATCCCTACCTGTGTGCAATTACACAGACCACTTTCCTGTCCATTTTTGATTATGTAATATTCCTATAGTGGCAACTACAAGAATTGCTTACGTGGAAAAGTAATATTGGGAATATATTTAATGCATTTTTTGCTTCATTTTAATTCAATTTACTGGAAATCAAAGAGAGAGCACCCTCTGACAAACCAGAGGACTGGGCACCAGAGACCATAGTCTGAGAATCTTTACTAGAAATTAACTCAGTATTACATGCAACTAAAACTGTAAGCTTCTTAGGAACATTTCTAGATATACAGCAGAGGAAGGGGGATGCTAGTCATTTTGAGAAAGAAGAAAATGCATAAATAGGGTAGAACTTTCTGGAAAGAGTTACAAGTAGCCCACTTCCCTAATGGGGGGAGGGGGAGGAAGGGTCAGTATTTTAAAAATAGAGAATTTGAAACAAAGTTTATGCTAGACAGTTTTATACTGAACACTCCATAAAGGTTTTTTAAGAAAAGAACAAGCTTGTGCGATATTGTACTTTTAAGGCAATTTAATAAAAAGAATATTAAAAAATGGTCGGTCAACAAAAGATAAGAGCAAATGTGCAAAGGATAGTGCCAAAACGTTGACAATGTGGTCACTTAATTTAGTGATGAAGCCCTAATCTAAAGTCTTTAATAGTCAGATAATGACTGGACAAAGGGTTTAAAGACCAGACAAAGCTGATACTGATTTACCCACTATCTGTTCATAACCTAAATAGTGAAAGCTAAAGAGTAGGTTGTTGCCTGTACTTTTTTAGCTTTTCCTTTATGAATGCTGAAATATTTAGAAAACAGATGCGAAAAAAGTTGGAGGGTCACTACCCTAAATGTTTTGTATATCATTGTTAGTTTAGTATGTAGTGCTATAGCTGTGTTGGTCCCAGGATATTAGAGAGAAAATGTGGGTGAAGTAATAAGGATATTACCTCATTCACATATGTATTACCTCACCCACTAAACTACCCTTATAGTTAGAATATCTTGCCTAATATCTAACCTAAATCTCTCGCTTTGTTATGTCTCGTCCTACCTTCAGTGATCATGGAGAACAATTGATCACTCTTTATAACTTCCCTTAACATACTGTACATTTGTTACCAGGTCCCCCTCCCCTCAGTCTTCTTTCTCAGGACTAAATATACCCAGGTTTATTAACTTTCTCTCATAGGTCAGGTTTTCTAAACTTTTTATCATTTTTGTTCTCCTCTGGACACTCACCAATTTGTCCACAGCTTTCCTAAAGTGTAGTGCCAAGAATGGACACAGTACTCCAGTAATGAGTAGAGTGGGACAATTACCTCCTATGTCTTACTCCTCTTAATACACCCCAGAATGATATTAGCCTTTTTTGCAACTGAATCACATTGTTGATTCACATTCAATTTGTGATTCACGATAACCTCCAGACCCTTTTCAGAAGTAATACCACCCAACCTGTTTTCCCCCATTTTGTAGCTCTGGTTTGATTTTTCATCCATAAGTGAAGCACTTTGCACTTATCTTTATTGAATTTTATCTTACAGAAATTGGACCAATTCTCTAATTTGTCAAGGTTGTTTTGAATTCTAATCCTGTCCTCCAAAGTGTTTGCATGTGCTCACCATGGATGTGAAGTTAGCAAACCCGAACCAGGGAGTTGGGGAGGGAGAGGGAGCTGCCACTTTGAGATAACCTTAGAGGAAAGATCTCAAGGATCTGAGGTATTAGACTTGCCAGGAGCTGGGGCACAAGTGGGTGAAAACTGCCTAGTAGACATGCATCAGGGAACTGCCACTGTGCCACAGCAGATTAAAGTTTTGGCTGTCCAGCCAGAGGAAGGCTGGGATGCTGCCCAAACTTGTTCAGCAGACGAACCTGAAATTAATAAATGTCCCCTTTGGTTTCTGGTTGATAGTCCAACCATCTCCCGTTGCAACATTGTCCATTGCTCCTGTGAAGAATTTATCTGAGATAGTGGTGATGTCATTGTCCTTGTCCACACTGTGCATGCCCTCTTGGTGTTTGCAAACTTGCAAAGTGACATAATCCATTGCAACTCTTGCATCTTTTTCACATGTTGGGCATCCACTTGGCTTGCGCGGCTTCATATGCTGCTTTTGCTGAACTCCGACTGAGTTATGCACACCTTTCTGTCTCAAGTCTCTTTTCTGGTAGCATTCTGGATTCTCTATCATGTCTAGAGCATCAAAGAACTGTCCACCCTCTATAAGTTTCATTCTGGACTGGGTGATTTCCTTTGCTTGTAAAATTCTAATTGCTTTGTGACGGGTTAATTCTTGGTCTTACAGTAGTCTCTCTGAGTTTTTTGTTCCAGATCCCAATTGTGATCTGGTCTCTTATCAGGAACTCAGCCTCACACAATTGCAAAGATGAGCTCTTCAGATTTAGATCAGTCATAAGCTCTTCTATGGTTTCACCTTCTTTGTGTATTTTCTCATTAAAATCATTTCTTAGATTTTTCTTTTTTGCATACAGTGCAGTACACCTCACATTTCTATAATTCAGTTTCACAGTTAGCCTCCTCTGCCTGAATGAACTGAAAACTGTTAAACACAAGTTCTTCCAAACCAGCTATTGTCAGTAACAAGGTTACCTTCTGACTCTGCCTTTCTGCTGGCATCCATTGCTTGCAGATACAGAGTAAAATACTGTTTAAATCTTCTCCAATGTGCCCACTGCAGCTTGATGTTTTGGGTCCTTGTCCAGCTGGCTGGAAGAACAGGAGTATTGCCTCTTTAAGGGGGCTCCCCCCAGTACAGGCAGGTAGATGGGAGGGGGGCAACATATACAAGGACAGAGCAGGGAAGAGCAGGAAGCAGCTGGGCCAAGTCGGGGGGGGGGTCGGTGAAGGAGAAGGAGGTCACTGCCCTTCCTGCCGATCAGAAGGAGGTAGGTATTTATATCCCGTGCAGTTCTGGAGAAGCCCTTTTTCACCTGGATCACAGTGGCAGCACCCCATCCCCCCACACACTCATGGATCTGAAAAAGAACTAGGTCCCCTCACGATCTGCTATGTGCATCCTACTAGTTGCCCTTTCCATTGGAGGCTGGGAAGGAAATTTTCCCTCACCACTAGATTACGGAGGCTGGGTGGAGTTTTTTCACCTTCCCCACAGCCGGTCTGGGACCCGGTGGGGTAGTAGGTTAGGTTATGTTGTCACAACAATTAAATTTGAGGGCAGATATCCAATGCGGGTAACAGTTTTGGAAGGGATACACTGATTGGATAAAATGGATTGGGAAAGGATTTGAAAGAAATCATCCCTTAAAGGAGCTCAGGAAGTGGGGTTTGGGGCTCTGAGTCTGATACAGAAGGGAGCCAACTCTTCTCCTTCTATAGCCCTCTTTACCTCACACGAGGGGAAGATGGTGGGATCGCAGCAACGAGATGGCTGGGATCAGGTTGGGGATAATTTAGAAATGATTAAGGAATGATGATGACCTGCACTATGCAATTGCTAGATAATCCCAGTTATTTAAAGTGAATAAAGTTGAAGCCTAATTACACCACATCCATTGACTCCTGTCTTTCTGCTGGCATGGACGGACAATTATCTTCCACATTTCCAGAGAGTTTCAGCACTAGTGGGGGCTATTTACTGCTCCATTCTTCCACTCAGGGTATCTGCTTAGTTCCTTTTCACTCTGGATACCATGTGGTGCTCAGTGCTTAAGGAGTTAGCAAGATGTCT